AGAGAGAGAGAGAGAGAGAGAGAGAGAGAGAGAGAGAGAGAGAGAGAGAGAGAGAGAGAGAGAGAGAGAGAGAAAGGGTGATAGATAAATATAGACGGAGGAGGAAAGAGATGGAACGAGACAGATAATGAGAGAGAGAGAGAGAGAGAGAGAGAGAGAGAGAGAGAGAGAGAGAGAGAGAGAGAGAGAGAGAGAGAGAGAGAGAGAGAGAGAGAGAGAGAGAGAGAAGAGGAGGAGGGAAGCGTGAAAGGAAGAGGGAGCAAGAAAGGGAGCGATAAGAGGTGTGAGAGAGGCATAGGGAAAAAAAAGATGAAAAGGGACGAGAAGAAAAAAAAATGAGAGGACGAGAGAGAAGGAGGGAAGGAAGGTACAAGGTGAGAAAGTGAGGGGGGATAAAGAAGGAAACGGTGGCAGAATGGAAAGAACAGGGGAGGAAGGGAGAGACGTAGATAAAGAGAAAGAAAAATAGAAGATATACTAGTGAGGAAAGTAAAACAGTGAAAACATCCAAGGTAATTTTGTAAAAGACGAGGAAATACAACAAAATAAAAAAATGTATGTAGACCATAAGATTGATGTAGACGCGGGGAAAGGTAACTAGATAGTGAATGTGTATTGTGCGAATTCGTGATGGCAGTTTCACCGCAGTGCAGTGAAAGGTTACTCTAGACACGCATTATCATTTATACTTTTGTTTTCATTTTGAAAGTTCAATTTTTTTTTCAGGTACTGTTTTTTCTAATACCCTTTTTCTCAATTATTCAATAAATGACACAAGAAATTGATCGCGAGGCATACACTCAAAAAAACAGAAAGTGTTCAAAAGAAATATTTATATTTTTTTAGTTGTTCATTATCTTTTTTTACTATTAGCTTGTTTCATCATCAAAATATACGTTTTGCTTGTTTTGTTGAGCAAATATGATTAGTGTGATTCTCCCTTCCGTTATGTTGAGGTATTTTAATAACCGTGTGAAGACACTGCATAAACTCTTGTGCTACAAACACAGATACAAAAGCCCCCCCCCCCACACACACACACATATACACACATGACATGATCACATTTTGAGCTGTTTATTGCAAAAGTTTTTTTGTTTGTGTGAAACATGCAAACTAAAAGAAGTGTTTAGCATCGTTCTAAGTGTAATGTGACATAATAATGATTATATAATAATATATATATGAATAAATGCTAACCAAAGCAGGGAATTTAAAGAAAAAAACAATAAACAAAAACTAAAAGAAAATAGAAAACGGAGAAGCAGAAGAAAGAGGGGTTGGAAAAAAAGGTAAAGAGAGAACACGAAGATGACACGAAATTGTACAGAAAATATAACAAAAGGAAATTGGAATAAATATTTAAAAGTATAAAATCCATAAACAGTGTATAAAACCCTCACTTCCTTCTAAAGGTCACACTTAAGGTATACTCCAAAGAAAAATAAGAAAAAAAAAAAAAATAACAACGAAGAC